GCAACCACATTATCAGTGTTATAGAGCTATTATCAAATTTCTCTGAACTTCTCTCCAACCTTTTTTCGTAGAAGAACATATTCTATTTTCGAAACAAATCCTCCATACTTTAATACAATTGCAACCACGTACCAGTTATAATACAGCTGACTGCCGTCTCCATGCTTGTACGTCTTCCGTTCTTCCAGTCTGATCAGCAGTGTTGTGAAGGGCGTCCCGCTATCTTTTCAGTTATAAAACGTAGTGAATGGTAATCATATCTAGTATCTCGGACTTAAATAGTATGACTTAAATCCTACGTTTGACTCAATAAAATCTGTACTGTCTTGCTAAACTAAAAAGACTTGACGAGACCCCCCCCCCCAGACAATAGAGAGGTTATATGCATACGGTGTGGAAACTTATATTAAGGGCGTGTGTCGATCAATGAGCTTAGTCGTAAAAGTACAAAGGTTAAACAATGCAGAGACTATTGATTACTTGCTAACTGAGTGATCTCTGCTCTCACGACCCCATATGCTTCATAACCGACAAGTGTGGCTAAAAATACTTTCCAGAAAAGCTTTGCGATAGCACAGATTTCAAGACCAGCCTGCTACGTAAGATATAAATATGACGTTTCCATAATTCAAACTTTACCTATTTAAAAACCAATGAAATTAAGATACTCTTGAGAATTGCTTGGTTCAATTGGCAAACCATGGCACGTAATTTAACAACGATACTTAAATAGAATTTGATAAGACAAATAGAGTTTTTGAGGATATTTAAGCATGCTAAGATTATATGTTGAGACCAAATTTCGAAAGATGCGTTTAGACAAATAAAACAAATAGTTATGATTACCATTTAGATAACGGTTATTTTTCGAACATCTAGAGGACATCGGAAATATCAAGCACATTAAAAACTCAGCGTGGTTAAGAATGAGTTAGTGAGGAAATATATTTCTACTACCTTTTTAAAAACAATTTATCTAACCAAAACTATAAATTTGTTAAATGGTCCCTTCAGTTGTTAGATTTTAAGTGCATTAATGAGCCCTTTATGTATCTAATTCAATATTTAAACTTTCACTTTTGAGAAGACACTAAAATTGGAATCAATCAATATCCACACACGTTGGTAAATAAGAAGAATGCTACTAATTTTCTTTAATCGAAACCAAGTAAAATTTTATTAGGCAAATTATGAAAGAATTTCTTTGTAAGGTCATAATGAATTTAACTTCGGCGAATTTAGATCAAACCTAAATAGAAGTCAATAAGATGACCTTGAGTAAATACTTTAATTCAGAGGATTCACGCGACTATTCCAAATGGCACTTGAGGAATTTAGAGTAGGCCCTTTAGACGGAAGATCGGACTTCGTCATCCCATTCAGGATTGCTTATCAAAAAGTAGGCATCTTAATTAATTTCGGCAAATTTAGAATGGCATAAAGCAAACAATCGATGGAGTAAAATCTCATTCCGAGTAAGCTTATTCCCCTTTAAATACCACTTATCTATCAGTGTTTCCATTCTTATTTATAATCGAGATCGAAAAAGCCTTGTTCTTGTCAAACAAATGCGTCCAGGTCAGTACAACATCAAAACCATTGTTTCAAATGCTAGTTCGGTTGGTTAAGTACATATTTACGTAATGCGAAGATTAGGGAATGTGTAATTGGCAATATTAGGCATTTATATCAATGATGTAGGAAATTTTGGACTTATCAATTACTCAATGTGATTTATTTAAGGTAAATTTTATTTTTATATTTGCTTTTTTAATAAGCAAAATGCTAAGTGTTTATTCGTTGGGAATGACATTTAAATTTCGAGAATTTGTAATTTAAGATTGTTTTGTTTCTTCTGATTTATATTGAAATTGTGTATTTTACGTATTTATTCTGTATTGCGTGCATATGCTTCCATTAGGCTTCATATTGATTGACGACTTTATCATTTCTATTATACAGATTTAATATGGTCGTTTTTGATACGAAAGTCTTAATAGATAACATTTTCACATTAATGAAATCTTTATTCTTTCTCTCAGTGGTTTACTACGCCCAACATCAGAATTCTTGTAACGCCAATAATCCTCCCGAAGATGTTGGTTACACACTTGAAATTTGCGCTGGGCTTGTGGATAAACCAAATCTGTCCTTGGAAGAAATCGCTGCTGCTGAAGTTCATGAGGAATGCGGCTATAAAGTAGATCCATCGAGGTTGAGAAAATTCTCTACAGTCATGTAAGCTTCTTAAGTTCACGTAAGTGAAATACTCTCTCGATTTTGAGTTAACGAAGATGCAACTGAATCTATTTTAGTGTCAATGATTGCTTGTCAGCTGCAATAGGATGTGTTTATTATTTGGAAGTTGGCGACAACGACCTTGACTTGGCTGCTGGTGGTGGGAATGCGGAAGATGGAGAGTGGATCGAAGTAGTTTACTGGCCCATTGATCGTATTGATGAATTATTGACTTTAACCGAAACAAAACTGCATGTTTCAGATACTACGATATTAGCTGCCCTTTGGTTTCAGTTACACATAGTGCCATCCCTTTGATAATTAAAATAAATTTTGCGGATTAATTCCATTTGTATCTGCTCCATTTTATGTAATATTTTTGCGTTGCTGAAGCAAACGGATAACCAAGATGTTGCTAAACTTATTTTTTTTGGGATAGAAAGGGGGGGCGGGGTTCGTGAGCACAAAAAATTAATTAATTAATTAATTTTAACTTTATTTGGTCATGGAGTGAAATGCAGTTTATTGTTTGAAGCTAAGTTGGGAAAAAACTCGTTTCACAAATATTAAGCAGACCAAATGTAATCTCTGGGAGAAGCAAATTATTCCGAGACCTTAATGAACGTCTTCTTATTCATCACTTATTCATCTTATAAATTCTACTTGTAAGCGAAAACACTTTGATAAATACTGGAAGATTGTGGGTAATTGTGACACGAATAAGCCTTAACCTGTCCTCCGAGATCTCCTACTTTGGGAAAGTCAAATTTCATGAGCTCAGATGCACTATTTGAGCACAATAGTTTAGTTAATAAAATTATAGTATAATCCACGTGCATTGGCATAGGGATACCACGACTTTTCCCAAAATTGAAGTTGGGAAAGCTCTTCCCCAAAGGGCAAATAGGGTCTGCAGTATTTTCCGTATTGTTTGAATTATGCTACTTCATAGGCTCCATCCATTACAAATGCTTGTAACATGAGCAAAAGTTATTGTTAGAAATCAGCCTAATAAGATACTGGAAAATCCGCCTTTCCCACCTAATAGTTTGCAAAGGCCCACGCAATAAAGCATAATAGAATATTTCGACTTTCCAATTGGTCCCATATTATCCCAAAACAAAACAAATCTGCTTAAAACCAAAATTTATTGATCGAAATCGAGTTGCCGAAATGTTAGAGCCCGAGAATATCCAATCCTATTTAAGTCAAACAAAATAATTTATCCCCCCTATGGGAGGGGATTTCGCTGCACGTGAGAGTTTTGCATTGCAGCGCCTTGGTAACCCATCAGGTAGGCTTCCTGCAAGTTGAGGTTCTGGATTTCGAAAAGCATCTTTGTCAAATCAACCTGCATTTCACCGAGTTTTTCAAGCTCTTTCATAAAAAAGGAGTCGCGTTGACATTGCAATGTCGTGCAACCTTCATCCCAGTCGCCGAAATGGGCTTGGACGAAAGCACTGAACACAAGGAGGACAGCGAAGATAGATACACAAGAGGAGTGCATAGGAGGTTACGGTTGTTAGGAGGGAGTTATGAAGGTGGACCAATAGGGAAAGGGGTTTATATGAAGGACCAGAGGGTTCAAAGTCTCCACTTGAAAGCCAAGTATGACATGGTAGAGTACTTGCTTAAACGCTGGCGTTAAAATGTGTTTTTTTTATTTTAATTAAGCAACGAAAAGCAAAGTTTATTACTTGAGCGTCAAGTGCGAAACACTTAACTTTTGTTTCCAAAGCCATCGAATTAAGTTGTAAAATTATTGAAATTTGAGCATTCAACAATCATCATAATGGAAAAGCATTGTTGTTGTGTTTAATTATGCACTTTCCAGTATTTTAATATAAGATGAACTTGCAAAACGGGACTACTATTCGTCCAATTAAATTAGTTAACGCATGTTACAAAGGACAGTGATTTGAGAAACTAATTTTGTACGAAATCTGACGTACTTAATGGGGCGTGCTAAAATTTGTTGAACAGGGTTGAGAGGATTGTAGCGGATTGCTACGCTAGTAAAGCCTAACCGACTCAGAAATCTCTATGGCAGATTCTCCAACATCAAGCTAGACTCCCAGAACCAGCTAAGCTATAGCCCAGCTATGAAGGAAACAGACGTGTAGCACGGAGCACGTTTATTCAGTACGAGTATATTGAGGAAAAAGTGTACACGCAGGAAGCTTAATCATGATCAGGATGGCGGATTAGGTTAAACAAACAGAGATTAATGATTGGTCACTGTTTGTACGGTCGCACCTCCCAATCATGGCGTGCAGGCATGCGATGACGTGTCCCACAGGATCATTAAACAAAGCCAGGTTCAATTTGCTTTCAACAACAAAACTTGTTTGAACAAGTTGTATCCATATCTTTACATTTGTTAGATTATTCTTTTTGGCAATAACATTTAATGTATTGGGTGGGCAACTAAGTCATTGCCGTTTTTGTTGACGGATTCACTCTATACTTTCTTTTGTTTTGTTAACGTGGCCAGAGCATCTAACCTATATTTTTTCTTACTGTATGGGCTTCTAGGTTAATTAGTAATTAGTTCTTTAGTTTTGTTTTTATCCCAATTTAAAAATGAAAGAACAGGACGTGCACTTCCGACACATTTTATTGTATTACTTACGAAAAGGCAAGAACGCATCGCAAGCACAAAAGAAGTTATGTGCCGTATATGGAGATGAAGCCTTAAAAGAAAGGCAGTGTCGAAATTNTCAAGCGAATATTTTTTTATAATGTCCAAGTTTACACAACCGTCTAATAAAACTCACTATACTCATTTTTACTTACAGTTGACGGGGGTGTGCGATAGGCTTACCTCCACGTGGTGCACCCTAGGCAACGTATACTCATACGGCAAAAAAGTCTATTTACCGGCAGTTGATTTCTGACTTCAAACTACCATGACCTCACTGTATGTCATAGTCGACCACTTCTACAGTACTCACCTAACCCTACTCCCTACCATTGCGTCTGCTTCTTTTACATCTGCAAATCACTCTTCGGTCCTCCCTCTTGAATTTGTCTAACTTTGATGTTTCTCCCTTCTGTGAAGTTCGAAGTCAGCTAAGGGGCAATGATAACTTTCAAAATGCCTGCCATTTGAAATAAATAAATAAATACTTACAGTTGACGGAAATTTCCGTATATTGGCGAACGTTTAATTGTTCGGGTGGATAACTTGTAGAAGCCTCACAAATCAATCGTTGACCATCTTGTTCGGCAGTCACTTTGTCCAGAGTAAGAGTGAGTTCCAACTCGCCGTCGGAGGGAAGTGCCGATTTCTCTTCGGCTAAAATGTCTCCATTGGACTGTTGAGAATAAAATTATGGCAGATTAGAATCCAATTTTTAACAAGTAAAAACCACTATCGCGATAGGCAGTGGGCTGAAAATCCTAGCGCTAGTGAATGAATCGTTGGACGATTTGGATGGGCACATGCATATACTACGTAGGACTTTTAACTTAATAGATGAAGACTTGGAAAGGGGACTTGGGCTACAAAATTTGTTGAATACGAAATCACAATGTCTTATGCTTTGACACTCCAACAAACTGGTCAAAGATAAGTCCACTTCTTGTAATGAAGAATGCTTGAGCAGACTAAACGTCAATGGGAAACAGTCTCTTGAATTATTTCAAACGTAGACGCTGCTTTACCAGAGCCGATGCTTGCTCCAATGCAATAGTATAAGTTAGAAGTAGGTGGCCTATGAGGTGTTAAAGAATGCATTCCATCGGAGGTATCAAGATATCCAACTGTCATATTCCAAGACCGTCAATAAGTGCAAAGGCCGCGGAGGTTGAATTGTGCAACTCAAATCTACATGTTCCTCAATAGAATTCCCGCCTTTTCAAAAAAGTATAGATAGAAATAGGTGGGCAGTCTTAAACCGTATTTTCTTCATACGAGGATTTATTCAAAGTTGGAATTCTTTATCTGTACAGCAAAATTTGCTTCTCAATCACCTTGTATAACATAAAGGGGATAGAAAAATGTACTATCGTGCATAGTGATGCTTTGCTTAATTAGTTTAAATATGAATGTACATACATTTTGTAAAATTTTTTGATAGGCTGTTTTCAGTCATCCGATATTTGAAAGTACAAGCTTTAAATTTAAGATATCAAGGAAAAAAATATGGAAGCCAAATCAGGTCTCTTTAAGGAAAATATTGCAATTAGAGCAAGCAATAGAGAGTAGGTGTTCGAAACTTATAATTGGTGAGCTTGTTAGCACCATCATTAAAAAACAAATAAAACTTTATTTTGCTGCAGTCTTTTTCATTCGCCCCGGGTGTTTAAAAAATAACACTTTCTGAAATGACTATCTTTATTTGGTACAATATTTGGCTTAAGTTAAACAACGAACAAGCAAAAAGATAGTTCTTTTAATTAAAGATGAAATATTAAAAGTAAGCTAAGATACGCCAAATCTAAGAGGTTTTAATTGCATTTGCATTTTACAGGAAGAACTTAAAATTTTCTTACTTATGTAAAAGAATGAATGCTTAAAAGTTTAAATCATCTATTTAATTTTTTGATCTTTACAACGCTATGGCAACTGCTTTCTTGTCGCTAAGGCACTAAAAGTTATTTACGCTGTATAAGAAATTCATGCCTGGTATAAATCATTAAAAGAGTCATAAGTTATCTCGCAAGAAGCAGAGATACTTGAATGACTGGAGTTTTCCCATTGAGCAATGGACTTCTTCGAAACATTTTCCACTTCAATTCGTGAATGTTCAGAGTGCGATCGAACCTGATTTAAATTCAACAAATCAAGATAATAGCTCGGGGTCGTAATATTAAGTATTTAATTAAATAACACACAATTTTAAATTTGCAATTGTGGGGTATGGGATAGACTTACCTCCACGTGGGGCACAGTGGGCAACGTATACTCATACGGCAAAAAAGTCTATAAACTGGCAGTTGACTTCTGACTTCAAGCTATCATGACCCCACTGTATGCCAAATTTGACCACTTTCCCAGTACTCACCTCACCTTTCATCTACCTTTGTGTCTGTCTCTTTTACATCTTTGAAACNCGCAGAACCAAACGATAAATTCAAATGTGTATGTTGAAGAACTCGAAAAACTGAAGGATGCAATTGAAGATAAGTGGCCGGCATTATCAAATCGGAAGGGTGTTGTTTTCCATCATGATAACGCAAGGCCCCACACATCTTTGGTTACTCGGCAAAAATGATTGGAACTGGGTTGGGATGTTTTGTCACACCCACCCAATATATAGCCCTGACCTTGCGCCTTCGGATTACCATTTGTTTCGTTCCATGCAAAACTCTTTAAATGGTAAAATTTTTAACAACGCGGATGATGTCGGATCACAGCTAATTCAGTTTTTTAATAGCAAAGACCAGACATTTTACGAACGGGGAATTTTTACTCTGCCAGAACGATGGAAAAAGGTGATCGACAAGAACGGCCAATATCTAATTGAATAAAGTTATATTTTTAAACAAAAATTCCTAATTTGCCTTCTTACTTGAAATCGGCAATGACTTAGTTGCCAACCTAATATTTATTGGACTTAACAATCTCCCCTTGATTAACTGTAATTGGATTTGGCAATGTATATATTTTGATGGCTCTGGTGTTTTGCAAAACTCGTTGAGGTATTGAAGTGGAGGTCTCTCCAATAATCTTCTTTCTATAGACTTAGAAACACCCGCGTTACTGTCCCAAAGAACGATACACTGAAACTCCACTTTGCATGTTTAAGTAAAGTCCATTAATGCTTAAAAGTTACCGCTTCGGCACTTGGGATTATATTTGATCGATAATACGTTACAATAGAGCCTAAATAATTTGTAGATGTTTTTCCTATCATAATTTATCAAGGTGATTAACAAAAATTTAATTGAGTAGGTCCGAACGTTGACTTTTTTATTTTATACAAGGGTATTTGAGTTTGTTTTAGCATGGGAATTTCGGAATCCTATCACCAAGCCGATAGACTTACCTCCACGCAGTGCACTCTGGACAACGTACACTCATACGGCAAAAGAAGTCTATTAATCGGAAGTTGATTTCTCACTTCAAACTAGCATGATGCGATTGTGTGTCATAACCGACCACTTCAACAGAACTCACCTTACCCTTTTCTTTACCATTGTGACTATCACTCTTCTAGTCCCTCTCTTGACTTTTTTTGACTTTGATGAGAAGCCCAAAGTCATAAAGACTGCATGAATTAGTACGTTTCTCGTGATCCCATTGAAATTTCAACCTACCACGAAATACATTTTCTTCCTTTTCGGCTTCTTAAGCGTCTAGCGATATTTTCACTTCCACTGCACTTAATCTGCTTGTTATCAATATTATCCCACTTCGTTCACCACCATATTACTTCTTCTCAACTTCAGTCAGTCTACCAAAGTCCCAGTCCTACGAAACCTTTTGAAATTTTTGCCACATTTTAAGGATACACCAAAGTTGTTTGAGGCAGTAATTGCATGCTTTAATTAAGATGGAGGGGTGTGCGATAGACTTACCTTCACGTGGTGCACTCTGGGCAACGTATACTCATACGGCAAAAAAGTCTATNTCTGTTCCCCCCCCCCTCTCGACTTTTTTCGCTTTGATGTTCCTCTCCCTCTGTGAAGCCTGAAGTCAACTAAAGGGCTAATGATAACTATCAGGCCATTTGAAATAAATAAATATATAAATTTGCTAGTGGCCACCTGTGCAGCAAGTGCAAATACCATCAAGAACTTCGAGCAATTGCCTTTCCTCTTGGAGCTGGGGGAGAGGCGAAGATTTCAAACAACGTTTTTACGTGAATGTGCGAATGCTCTCAATGATTTAGGAATTTACAGCATTTATTGCATTTTCTTGTTTGTGTGCTCATTAAACAGAACATTCGGCTCCCTTCCTTACTAATGAAAAATGCAAATACGAAGCAGAAAATAAAAGCATTTTCCATTAGTTGCCAATTTTCCTATTTCTATTTAATGAACTAGATTTCCCAACGTTTATCAAAAAGCACTGGGATTGGAAAGTTACATTGTTAACCCCGTTAACTCAATACTTCAAGAACGATGAAAAGACAGAGCTTAAACGAGCATATTTATGCTGTTTAAAATTTATGAATATTAAGATATTGACAATTTAATCGCCGAAGTGGACTTTGAAGGGGATTACTTCTTTTAACCCGATACAATGTAATGAGATTTTTACAATTTCATGTTCGACTCAATAGGCCAGTACCGATTTATCACCCCAGACAACCAGTTAAAGCGAAAGTAACCTTAATACCGACCATAATACAGTCATCAGTATCGCATTTGGACAACAGCCAACAACTGCAGTACCCCCCCCCCTCCCCCTCCTCCTTCCCCCAATCCGCAAACTCCTAGTCACTGTTTCGACCAGAATTGAGCAATCGGATAACCAATCATATGCTGCACAAAAGGACTGGCGTGTTAACCAATGGGGTTGGTTAGACTACGATTGAGAAGGGAACGCGCTAAGCCAAATCTAATTTTGGTCCTTTTTTGTGTGTTTCTGGTGTTTTGGAGTTTGCCAATTTAGTCGCTTTCGGCGGAATTTACGAAGCGGTGAAAAATCAATTGGTTGGATTCGGATGAAAATATAATTTAAGAACACTTGCATAAGGCATATTTCTGTTCCATCAAGATAACCACCTCTCTAGTAAACACGACAAGGGTTTCGAAATAGAAACTTTAGAACTCCTATTTCTATCAACCTCTTCGTTCGGACGTTAACGTTTATCACACTGCTATCACACTATAGATAACAAAATTACAAAATGTCACTCTTTATTTTGTATCTTGAATTTTTTTATATCAATTAATCAAATAAGGACAGTGATAAGTGATCTGGCATAGAGAGAGAAGGTATACTTCTTAGAAGGTTATATTTGAGACAAATAAAACCGACCCTATTGGATAAACGACATTCCAAATTAAAGAAAGTACTACCCGAATGTGTCGTTTCATGTGTAATTCGACTGAACACTCAAAAGCATTGAAATTTATAATTTATTCCGAAATACAATTGAAATTCTAGTTCCAGCCTAGTCTGTGTATTTACTTTTAACTTATTTGAGAGGGAAATTTAAACCATAATGACGAATCCTTGGTGGTATGGAAAAGTCTGAAAGCAACTTATCAAGAATTTTGTTTGCTATAAGATGTTTATGTTCTATCGCATTTTTCTTTGAATGACAGCCATCTGAAGTGGTTGCTCACCTATCCAAACTTAAAAAGTGCTTATTCGATGCCAAAAGCAACCTCACCCATCTATCAGAAGACGTGACCTGATATTTGGCTAATAGTACATTAGAATCAATAGATTTTGTGCCAGAAAAATTTAATTTACAAGTAATTGAGTAGTTTAGGAAGAGAAAACTTGTTGTCATTTTAAGAACAATAATGTCAGAAACTGGATTTTAACGCATTTTAATTTGCGGTTAGCAGCGAATTTTAGGAAAAAAACCGGACGAAGTGACACTTTAGAGACTCGAATGGGGTTTGGAGGGGTGTGGGTGATGGTGGTGGTGTGGGNAGAAGCCCAAAGTCATAAAGACTGCATGAATTAGTACGTTTCTCGTGATCCCATTGAAATTTCAACCTACCACGAAATACATTTTCTTCCTTTTCGGCTTCTTAAGCGTCTAGCGATATTTTCACTTCCACTGCACTTAATCTGCTTGTTATCAATATTATCCCACTTCGTTCACCACCATATTACTTCTTCTCAACTTCAGTCAGTCTACCAAAGTCCCAGTCCTACGAAACCTTTTGAAATTTTTGCCACATTTTAAGGATACACCAAAGTTGTTTGAGGCAGTAATTGCATGCTTTAATTAAGATGGAGGGGTGTGCGATAGACTTACCTTCACGTGGTGCACTCTGGGCAACGTATACTCATACGGCAAAAAAGTCTATTGATCGGCAGTTGACTTCTGACTTCAAAATACCATCACCCCATTATATGTCATATTCGACTACTTCCACAATACTCACCTCACCTTTCTTCTACCATTGTGTCTGTCTCTTTTACATCTTTGAAACACTCTTCTGTCCCCCCCCCGCCCTCTCGACTTTTTTCACTTTGATGTTCCTCCTCCTCTCTGTGAAGCCTCAAGTCAACTAAAGGGCTAATGATAACTATCAAAACACCTGCCATTTGATATTAATTAAGATGGGTAGTAAACCAGAAAGCCTTTTTACTCTCTTTTTATTCAGAACATAAATAATTACCACTGGACATCTTTGCATTCCTAGGTAGTTAATCTTATCTAAACTCTACTAGGTAGTTAAGTCATTTCAAGTATAAATCAAAAATAAGAAAAAAACAAAGTATGTGAGAAATTAATTTTATTATCGAAATGTGTTAACAAGTATTATTCAAGCCCAATCTACTGTTGTTGTTGATCATGTGAGTAGTGGAAAGGGTACTGCCAAGGGGTACGCAGGAAAGAAGCCATTTCTCCATGGCGTTCAATAGTTTGGCGAAGACGCTCCATTGCGACCATCACATCTCGACGAAGGAGAGTGATATCCTGTTGGGTTACTCCGACAGGTTTCCCAGAATTTTGAAGTTCAGGGTCAGTCTCAGCTTCGCCTCCGTTTTCAGCCTCCTGAGATTCAGCTTCTTTCATCTCACTGTCAGTCATCTGACGACGGTATGATGGTAGACGTCTCAAATCTTCCTCAAAGAGGGTGAAGAAGGCTTGAGTTTGAGCAATAGCCAAAATCAGAAGGACTGCTGAAATGGTCAATGTCTTCATGTTTTATCTCGAATACAAATTTCGCACTCTCGTAGATGACTTTTATAATGTTTTTTTGGAAACATCAGAGTCCAAAGTCCAAGTGTTTATGAGTAGTAACACTTTATCCAATAGACTGGGATGTTGTTTGTCAAAACTAACTGAAGTTGATTAGTTTGCTCTTGACTAAGTGTGAGGCAATTGAAATTAATTATAAAGATGCCGGGTAGTCTTAAACGAAAACGTCATATAACTCAAAAATTTCATTTGCTAGTCTAACTCGAATGCAATTTAAAAATGCTTCTAAGGCATCAGATAAATTAGACCAATGGAAGCTATTTTCTCAAAGACTATATATATTAACAATTTAACTAAGTGAGTTTCTGGAGTCTTCACGTCCTCTCTCAGAAATGAATGTTTTAAGAGGTGAAACAATCAGGGGAAATAAATTTTTCGGGAGAGACGATGAATCATCACTGTGGTTTGTCAAGTGGGGTGTTACATGAGCAGAAAGTGGTAATAAGCGATGTTTATTGGATACTAAAAAAGGCAATTTCAATAAAACTTTACTTCTGGGAAGCCAAATTGAATACTTTCGTCATACAGAAGAGAAAATCACGTTTACCATCTCTTATGCGCTGGATTATCGATTATTGATTATTGGGTATTTTAGACCGTCTGCAGAGAAGTCGTGACTGTAATTAATGGGTAATCAGGCAGCCAACCATTTATTGCCTATTTCAAGCTTTTATAGGTAACTTTATTCTGTTTAATAATTGAATTATGAGCCAAAGGTCTTTTCTGTTAACTCTAAACTGGACAACTGACAAACAATAAAATTGATTGAACCATGCATTTTCTGTGCATAGATCATGGGAGGTCATTTATACCTTGTGGAAACAGTTTGTCAGAGAAAAAGAAATTGAAAACTTAGGGAAAAACTTCTATCATATACTCAATTTAGTCACCAAGTCAAATATAACTCGACTATGAATCAGACACTTTTTTGGCTTTTTTAATTAATTTATAGTATTTTTTCACCCTGATTGGCAGCATGTTATGCAACTACTTAGTCAGATCGAAGGTAATATGGAAGCAGCGTGTGGAATCATTTGGAAACCAAACGTTGAATGCTACGGTCATCAGTTAGATTAAGAAATTGTTTTCATTTTCACTTCACAGGCTGAGATAGAATTGCGGCCACCATAGCAACCAGTAATTTCCACGGGACCTATATATATTCTTTGGGCTTCTTGGCACTCATGTCCGTCATTCAAACACCTTTTGGGACTTCGATCCCTTTAATTTTAAAATTCCTTATCTAATAGATATTTCTTAAAATTATTATTATTATTATTATTTCAAATGCCAAGCTTTATGACATTTATCATTAGCCCCTTAGTTGACTTCGGCTTTCACAAGGGGGTTCTGGTTTTCCGTCGTTGTCCTTAGGACCGGACACCGAATCAGGTGAGTCTTCCTCCTGTAGGTCACATAGGAGACATGTTGGTTGAGTGTATACTCCAAATCTATGAAGGTTTTTGCTAAGCAATCGAGACCGGTACGTAGTCTAAACTCAGCAACGGCTTCGATTCTTGGCCAGTCGACTA